ACTGTGTCCATTTATTTCTGGTTCCTTAACCCAGTCCAGTGCCTAACTCCAAAATCTCACCCCATGCTGTTAGTCTAATGAATGCACAGATGAGGCCTATGGGGAGACACAGAGCAGTCCAGCAGCACAGCCAGGGAACAGTGTTGTTTTAAAGGCAAGTGTGAGTATGTGCTAGTCACACATGTAATACTTCCATTTCTAGTTATTTAAGTTGGCCTTCTCAGAAAGCAGTCCTGAGAGAGTTTCCTTAAATCTCTGTAAATAGGGAAGAATAGAGGGGTTGAAGGGAGGGCTGGGCAAGGGTGAAAAATAAGAACCAAAAGAGACTATGTAAAGGTGTAAATTTCCAATGATGAATGTCATCATATTGTATACCTAAAATGTACCAATGATTAGAATGAATAATCGATAATGCAAAATAGGAAGAAAAGGTCCAAAGGGGTAGGGGTAGTGGGAGGCACAGGGGAAAGGAAAGAAGGGAAAGGAAAAATGCTGAGAAATGGAAAAAATGGAAATAAAGTCTTTGTAAATAGGGAAGGGTGGAGGGGGTGAAGGGAGGGCTAGGAATGGGGAAAAAATAAGAACCAAGATGCATCATGTAAAGGTACAATTCCCAATGAGAAATGTAATTGTGTTGTATACCTACAATGTACCAATAAAAAAATTTAAGAGAAAAAGAAAAACAACTGTAGAATACTTCAGAAGATAACTTTCTACTTACCTAAAAGAAAAAACAAGGACAAAAAACTTTTAAACTTCATTTCATGAGGAAATTTTTTTGTCTTAATTTTTTTATATTGCATTATGAATAGATGTTTCAAAAATGCTGCATGCACATTAAATCATGGTAAATAAAAAAAAAAAGAGTTTACTATTCAATGGTTTCTTTAAAATGCAAATAAGAATGGAATTCCAGAAGCTTGCACAATAAAGAGAACTTCTTTCTCTTCTTTCTCTCCTTCCTGGAACTTGTTATTGGGCTCTTCCTAAGAAATGTTTTCATTGCAAAGCTCTTTTTAAAATACTCAATGTTTAGCTATCAGGTGGCACACTCTGGGGAGTTTGAGAACTCAGGAATGTGGAAGTGTCTCACGGTATGGCGAGAGGCTTCACTTACCAGCCCTCTGCTTTACATTGCTGCCAAGGCTTCTCATCAGCTCTTCCACATCCACCCATCAACACTCTAGTTTACTGGGGAAAAAGGATTTTAAGAAAGTTTAAATATTAAAAATGGTTGTTTCTGTGAAACAGGACCAAAGTAATGAAAGGGTCAGGGCATATTTACTGCCATTATAAGTTCTTCTGTAGCATTTGTTTTATAACTATGTCCATATCTTACTGTTTTTTTTAAATCTTGTCTACATTTTGTCCAGCTGTAATCATGAGATATATTTACTCCTTTTGTTCACTCATATCTTCTAACAAATTATTACCTGGGTGTGGTGCCACACACCTGTAATCCCAGCATTCTGGGAGGGTGGGGCAGGAGTTACACATTGATCGGAGCCTGGGCAATTTGTGACTCAGCAAATCTCTATCTCAAAATTAAGGAAAAAAAATGTTTTTAAAGGGCTAGGGATGTAGCTCAGTCCAAAGGGCTAGGTTCAATGCCCAATACCAACACTGAGATAGATAGATAGATAGATAGATAGATAGATAGATATAACCTTAAAGATTTTTTCCTCTATATTCACTAGACCAGCAACTTCCAGTTTTTGGTATTGTACGGAACGTTATTTTCAGCAATACTGGGGACTGAACCTGGGCCTCAAATGTACTACACAAGTGCTCTACCACTAAGCTACCTCACCCCTTCTTAAAATTTTGAGACAGGATCTTGCTATATTGTCCACAGCAGCTCTGTGCAGGTGTAATGACTGCAAGGCCTGCCAGTCAGGAAACTGACACAGGCAGATCACCTGTTCAAGGTCAGCCTGGGCACTTAGTGAGATCCTGTCTCAAAATAAAATGAAACAGGACCCAGGAATATAGCTCAGTGATAGAGGATTTGCCTTGGATGTGTGAGGCCCTGGGTTTAATCCCCAACACCAAAACAACAACAAGGCGTCAGGCACAAGTATCAAAAAGTTGAGTTTCTGGTTAACTAAGTATATACTGAATCACTGAAGAAATGGCCAGATCTTTTCTCAAAATGAATGTATCATTCTGTATTCCTATTAACAATGTGTGAGAATTCAGCTTGCTCTATATACTCACTCACATTTGGTGACTGGTCTTTTTACATTTTACCCACTGTGGTGAGTTTTTGTGGTCTGTTGTTGTAGTTTTAATTCACATAGTTTGGTAAGGAATAATACTGAACATTTCATGTGTTTATTGGCCATTCTCACATTCACATCTGCTTTTGTGATGTTTCTATGCAAATGATTTTCTGTTTTTAAATTGGATTATCTTATTAAGGAATAAGATTTCTTTATATATATTGAATATAAATCCTTTGTCAGAAGACATGATGCAAATGTTTTGTTTTCTTTGCAGTATCTTTCAAGAACATTCAAATTTTGATATCGAATTCATACAAATCATGGTTTTATTTTTATAGTTTGTGTTTTTTCTATGCTAAGAAATATTTGCCTACCCCAATATTATGTACAAAGATCTTTCTCTACTGAAAATTTTTATACTTTTAGCGTTTACATTTATAACTTTTTTACTTAATTTATTATTTTTTATAGTACTGGGAACTAAACCTAGAGTCTTCACACTCAGCAACATCTCCAAGCCCACCCTCTTTTTTTGGTTTTTGTCTTTTTGAGGCAGCGTCTCCCTGTGTAGCTTAGGCTGGTCCTGAACTCACAATGTAGCCCAGGCTGAGCTTGAACTCTCAGTGATCCTCCTGCCTCAGCTTCCTGAGTGCTGGGATTACAGGTGTGTGTTACCACACCTGGCTCTCACCCTCTTCCCCCACCCCCCACCCCGGTACCAGGGATCAAACTCAGGACCTTGCACTTGCCAGGTAGGCATGGTGCGACTGGGCCACAACCCTGGCCCCTGTCGCCCTCCTTCTTTAAGACCAGGTCTCCCTAATTCAATACACTGTCCAGGCTGGGCTCAATCCTGCACCCGCGTTTCACCTTCCAAGAGTGCTACGATCACAGGCACTGCTACTAGGCCCGGCTTTAAGTTGATTGCTTTGTACAGTATGAAGTCAGGGCTGGCTCTTTCCTCTGATCCCCTACCCCTGTAGCTTATTTGTTCTTTTTTTGTTTTTGGTACCAGGGATCAAACTCAGGACCTTGTGCTTGCGAGGCAGGCGCTGGAACCACTGAGCTAAATCCTTGGCCCAATTATCTTACTTGTTCTGCAACCAATTTTTTTTCTTTTGCTGGGGATGGACCATGGAGCTTCCTTTTTGCTAGGCAAACACTACCCCTGAGCTATTACACCCCAGCCCCAGCACACTGCCTTAATTACGGCTGCTTTACAGTAACGTCTACAAATTTGGTAGGATAAATCCTCCAACCTTATTATTCCTTCTCTAAACTGTCTTAGCTAATCTCTTTACATCTCACATACATTTTAGAATCACTGTCAATTTCTACATAAAATCCTGCTTGAATTTTAATTGGGATTACAATAAATCTATAGGTCAATTTGGGAAAAATTGATATCTTTATAATACCTAGTTTTCATGGTACATTTTCATTTATTTAGCTTATTTTCTCTCAGCAATATTTTTTTCCTACACAGGCTTTGCAAACATTTTGTAAAATATATTAAGAACATCATTTTTGAGACATTACTGTATTATAAATTGTTTTTTAAAATTCAATGTCTGGTTGTTCGTTGGTAGTAGTTTTTATACATTTACATTTATATATTGCTATTGTATTCTGTGACTTTACTAAATTTAATTATGGGTTCCAGTAGTTCTTTTTGTGGAGATTACATTGTGGTTTCTTCTCCCCCTGCCCCCTTTGGTTCCAGGGATTGAACCCTAGGCCTTTACACAGACCTATATCCTCAGCCTTTTTAAAAATTTTTTATTTTGTGACAGTTTTACTAAGTCATTAAGTTTCCTTGGCAGGGCTCAAACTTTGCAATCCTTCTACCTCACCCTCTTATAGTGCTGAGATTACAGGTCTATACCACCAGCCCCAGCTGAAAAATCTTTTTTTAAATATGAGGATTACTACATTTTACTTTGAATCACACACAATGAATGGTAACTTAACAGTTCCACAGAAGCAGCAGCCAGGCAGGGTAGCACACACCTGTGAGCTCAGCACTCAGGAGGCTAAGGCAGGAGGATTGTGATGAGTTCACAGCCATCCTGTCTCAAAAACAAACAAACAAACAAAGTGTTCCACAAGATGCCAAGTCAAGTTTCAGAATTTTACAGGAATTCATGCCCTTCCTAACTTAAAACTGTATTAACCACATCCTGAGCTCAACCTGAAAATATATTTCCCTAAGATGATCCAGCAACCAACTTAGCCCTATGTGACTTTCTACACTAAGGACGCAGTAGATGATGTAGCTCTAAGGCTCAGCCAACTGCTGTTGAGCCTTATTCTTTTTGCTGTTTTTCTTTTTTGAGACAGGGTCTTGCTATGTAATTCAGGCTGATTGTAAACTCACTACGTAGCCCAAACTGGCCTCAGACTTGCAGTGATCCTCCTGCCTCAGTTTCTTGAGTCTTGGGATTACAGGAATGCACTACCACATCCAGGTGGGCCTGTGTCTTGTTGTTGTGGAGTTTTTTTGTTTTGTTCTTTTGACCTGCATTATTCTTAAACACAGACTAGACCTGGATTCTGGGGTCTGGAAAGGGAGAGTATTCTTTCAGTAGCACTCAGAACAGAAATAGCTGGTGCAGATAAGGATGTCCCTAAGTTTCCCCTAAGTAATATAGTTCTATGAGTCAAATGATAGATTTCTTTTTTTTTTTAAATGATAGATTTCTAAAGTGGACTCCAGACCTAGAAATCCAGCTACATTCTAAATCTATCACAGCCCAATTAAGAAAAGAGGTAACCTAATGTCCAAACAGGTTTATTGGTAATTTTACACAAAAGAATGTGAGCAATTTGTAAATACACAATATGAAAAAAGGCTCAAGGGCTGGGATTTGGCTCAGTGGTTCCAGTGCCTTGGAAGCACAAGTTCCTGCGTTCGATCCCCAGTACCAAAAAAAAAAGAAAAGAAAAATGGCTCAATACAAGCTGCCCTTTTTTTGGTGAGGGAAAGGGGCACAGTACTGTGGACTGAATCCAGGGCTTTGCAGTAACCCTTTCTTTTACTTTTTATTTTGAGACAGGGTCTTGCTAAGTTGCCCAGGCTAGGCTTCAGCTCACCAGCCTTTTTCTCTCAGCCTTCCTGAGTGCTGGGATTACCAGTGTGTGCCTCCACACCTTTCTTTTACCATAAGAACATACATCAACTCCAGGCCAATATAATGAAGTCCATTTTCAAGTTTACATAACAGATATACTAAAAAGAAGCCCAGAGCTGGGGATTTAGCTCAGTGGTTCCACCGCCTGCCTCGCAAGCACAAGGTCCTGAGTTCAATCCCCGGTACCAAAAAAAAAAAAAAGTCAAAAACAGAACAAAAAATATAAAATTATAGGGCCAGGAATTTATCTTAGTGGTGCCATGCCTGCCTTGCAAGCATATAAGATCCTGAGTTCAATCCCCAGTACCAAATAAAAATAAAAATAAAAATAAATAAATAATTCCTGACACTAAGCCCAAGATTTTTCCCTCCTTAGAATCCTCTAAACCCAAATTATGAGATATAATTTACTCTGGCCACTGGAAACATTTCTGCACTGTGACATCATCAGAAATTTTACTTCTCTTATTTATATATTTATTTCCACCCTAATCCATATACCAGGAATGTAGTAAAGAAGAGGATATCATTTTCCTGGAGCCTGTGCCTGGGCGTAACTGAACCCACCACATGGGAGCCCTGGATGACAGGGACTGGGCCCCCAGACGGCCTAAGCAAACTGCAAACCCTCAGGTAGGTTTAGAGATGGGCTTATCCAGGAGCCTGTCTTCTCCAAGGCCGGACAGGGAGGGAGTGTGGAAGTCCCAGCTTCTTTGAAAGGATGAAACGTATCGTTTGGTGACACTCTGCTTTCCTGAGGAAGAAAAGGAGGTACTGAAACATCTGGTTTTGTGGACAACAAATATTCCTCATCTTCTAGAATCAATAACTGTTCTCTCTCTTCTTTCAAAGAAAAACTTGACTGAAACTCATGCTTTGCCAACATAAAGTGTTCTGTCTGAGTTACTTTCACATCCTGGGATCCTTTTGACTCAAGGCAAATAAGTTTATTACTGGAACCCTCACTGGCTTCTCCTTTGTGTATAGGAGGTAGATGCTGAGATTTTACTATTGTTTGAAATTTTCCTTTTGAAAAATTCCCATCCTCATGAAATTCATGGGATGTCAAACTTGGAAGCTTATCTTCCCTAGAATCTTTAGAAAACAAGAAGCCTCTGACTTTTTCCTCTTTCCCTGCTGTCGCTGTCTCTGACTGCTTTGGATGCAGCATGGTCCTTATTAGGAGTCCTCGTGCATTCATCCTGTATTCTTTCACAGCTCTCTCTCTGCGCTGCTTCTGGAAGTCTTTGAGTTGAAGCAGCTCCTCTGGTAGCTCCATACATGTAGGCTACGAAAGGAAAATGAACTCAGGTTTACAATAATTAAACTTGTGAATATGGTACTTAAAAACTACTTCTATTATAATTAATGAGAGTAGGCAATCAAATGTCTATTCAAATGCATTCATACAGCACCCTCTAGTGAATTCAACAATCATTGTACTATTTGAGCAATTTAAATATAGAAGCAATGAATCCAGTTATGTGTGTGTGTGTGTGTGTGTGCGCGTGCATGTGTGCATGTGTGCGTATGTGTGTTAGTGGGGACTGAACCCAGGGCCTTCGTACTGAGCTGCATTCCCAGACCTTTCTTAAATTTTGAGACAAGTTCTCACTCATTTGCTAAGATGCCCAGGCCAGGCTCAAATTTGCAATGTTCTTGCCTCAGCCTCCTGTAACACTGGGTTTACAGGTGTACACTGTTTTTAACACACTCCCCCCCAAAATGGGGGGGTGATGGCAGGATCTCACATTGCCCAGGCTGACTCTGAACTTTTGGGCTCAAGAGATTTTCCTGCATTAGATTACTGGATATCTGGGACTACAGCACATGCCACTACATGCAGCTAACAAGGTTTTTAAATTCAAATTTACTAGTCTGTTATGGGTTCTAAATATTTTGTTACATAAAAAAGACTTCTATCAGGCGTGGTGGTGCATGGCTGTAATCTTAGCACTCGGAAGGCAGCTATGCTCACCACTATACCACCAATGCACACAATCCCAGCACTTGGGAGGCTGAGCCAGGAGGATTGCTGGGAGTTTGAGGCCAGCCTGTGCTACAGAGTGAGTTCGTTCAAAGCCAGCTTGAACTACATAGGGAGACCCTTTCTCAAAAAAAAAAAAAAAAGCCTTCTGTGCTGTGGAAATTTAAAACTTCTGTTTTGTGGTGCTAGGGAATGAACCCAAGGCATCACAGATGCTAAGCAAATACTCTACGACTGAGCTTCACTCCCAGATATTTTTTTAAAATCTTTGATTATTACATACTTGATAATCTTGGAAACTGGTATTACATTTTTTTGTCAGAAAAAAGAAAAGCTGCCATCTCCTTGCCACATCTGTAACAGATTTTTTTTTAACTTAAAAAAAATTTTTATTAGAACATGTTTGCAGTACATGCAGTTTACAATCATCTTGGGGAATGGTTACATGCACATACTACAGCTTCTTTTTTGTTGTTAATTCTCTTTCCCTTCCCCCGCTTCCCCTCTCATTCCCCTATCCCAATCTGCATTCTTGTTGATACTATTAGCTCATGTTATGACATATAATGTTTACATTCATTGAGGTTATTAGGTTCCTGTACACAGCATTTTTGGGGGGGCGGTTTTGAGGCAGGGTCTCCCTTTGTAGTTCAGGCTGGCCTTGAACTCACTATGTAGCCCAGGCTGGCCTCAAACCCACAGCAATCCTCCTGCCTCAGCCTCCTGAGTGCTGGGATTACAGGTGTGCGCCACCACGCCTGGCAGCATATCTTTATTCTACTTATTTCCCTTTCTCTTCCTCCTCACCCCTCACCCTTGTTCCCTTTTACCTCTTCCCTACTGCAAGAGATCCATCCCCTTGTCCCCTTTGTTCTATCCTTCATTATTCTCTTTGTACCGTACCTCACTCAAATGAGATACCATACTGTATTTAAGCTTGTGTGTCTGGTTTATTTCACGCATCATTTCCCAGGTGCATCCATTTTCTTACAAATGTCTTAAATTTGTCATTCTTTATAGCTGAGTAGTATTCCAATATATATAGATATCACATTCTCTTTATCCAAGCATCTATTGATGGGTATACAGGCTGGTTCCAGGATTTAGCTATTACGAGTTGTGCTGCTATAAACATTGGTATCCATGTATTGCTGTAGTATGTCTTAAACTCTTTGGGGAAGATACCTAGAAAGGGGATAGATAGCTGGGTCATATGAAATTTCTAACTTTAGTTCTTCAAGAAATCATCATACTGACTTCCATAATGTTTGTGCTAGTTTACATTCCCATCAACAAGGAAAGAGTTCTTTTTTCACCACAGCCATGCCAGCATTTGCTACTGTTTGATTTTTTTAATGATTGCCATTCTTTCTGGAGTAAGATGGAATCTTAGCGATGTTTTAATTTGCATTTCTCTAATGGCCAGAGATGTTGAACATTTTTTCATATATTTGTTGACCATTTGTCTTTTTTTCTGTGAAGTGTCTGTTCATTTCTCTTGCTCATTTCTTTTTGTTGTTTTTGGGTCTTGCTATGTAGTTCAGGCTGGCCCTGAACTCATGGTGCTTCTCCTGCTTTAGCCTCCACAGTGCTAGGATTACAGGCACGTGCCACCACACCTAGCCATTCTGTCTATTTCTTGACTGGGTCTTTAATTTTAGGTAGTTTAATTTTTTTTGAGTTGTTTATGTATTCTAGATAGTGGTAATGAACTTATCGGACCTGTATTATTTATTTCTCTTTTAAGACAAAATATGTTAATGTATGAGTTGTTTTTCTAAACTAAAACCTCAGTATTCAGGTTTAATTGCAGTGTTGGCATTTTGCAATAAATAAGTGGGTTTTGGGTTGCAGTTTGGGCACTCATCTCTAAAAGGTTTGCCATCACTGTTCTAGATATTAGTCCTCTGTCTGAGGAGTAGTTGGCAAAATTTTTTTCCCATTCTGTACATTGTCTCTTCACTCTACTGATTGATTCTTATGCTGTACAGAAGCTTTTTAGTCTGATATAATCCCATTTGTTGATTCTTGCTGTTATTTCTTGTGCAACTGAGGTTTTGTTTAGAAAATCCTTTCCCATACCTAGGTCTTCAAGTGTTTTACCTTTTTATTTTGTACTGGAGATTGAACTTGGGACCTCCGGAACCACTGAACTGAATCCCTGGCCAGTTTTACCTATTTTAACTTCCAAAAGGTTTAATGTTTCCTTTTTAATGTTTAGATCTTTGATCTATTTTGATTTAATTTAGTATACGGTGAGAGATAAGAGTCCAGTTTCAATCTTCTGCAAACAACCAGTTTTCCCAGCACCACTTGTTGAATTGGCTGTCTTGCCCCCAAAATATGCTTTGAGCCCCTTGGTCAAAGATCAAATAGCTCAATCTGTTTGGGAATGTTTCTGTAGCCTCAATTTTGTTCCACTGTTCCATATATCTGTTTTTATCCATGTACCATGCCATTTTTGTCACTATTGCTTTGTAGTATGGTTTGAAGTCAAGTATTGCAAGGCCTCCTGCTTTGCTTTTGTTGCCCAAAATTGCTTTTGCTATTCTGGGTCTCCTCGGTTCCATATGAATTTTAGAACTATTTTCTCTAGTTCTATCAAGTATGCTATTGGTATTTTGATTGGAACGGCACTGAATCTGAAACAGCTTTATTTAGGTATGGCCATTTTGACAATATTGGTTCTGCCTATCCAGGAACAGGGGACACCTTTCCATTTTCTGATGTCCTCTTCAATCTGCTTTTTCAGAGTACTATAGTTTTCTTTGTAGAGGCCCTGACTTTTTTTTTGAGACAGGTTCTCACAAAATTGTTAAGTTGCCCAGGCTGGCTTGTGATATTTTTGCTTCAATTTCTCAAACAGCAGGGACTACCATCATGTGCCACCATGTCCAGCAACTCCTTTCTTTCTTATATTATAGTTTCATTTTTTACGTAAATATTTGATCCATGGGGTTTATTTTGATGTAATGAGACCAATGTAACTGATTTTACTTTCCTACAATAGTAAATCAATTGTCTAAGACCATTTACAGAATAATTATGTTTTCCTTTGATTTATCAAAACCATCTTGGCAGATACATACTGAATTTATTTCTGGGCTCTCAGTTGTATTCCATTGGCTTCCTCAATCATGTACCAGTCAAAAACTGTTTTCTTTAATGCACCTTTATAACATGTTTTAATATTTGACACAACTAGTCTTTTTCACTATAATCCTTTTTCCAAAATTCCCTGATTATTCTTACCTGCTTATTGGTTTCTACAAACCTTCTAATCATGCCTGTTAAAATAATCCAGTGTAGGCAAACTGTTGTCGTGCATAGCTGCAGTCCCACCACTCTGGGAGGCTGGGGCAAGAGGACTTCAAGTTTGAGTCCAGCCTAGGCAACTTAGGGAGACTCTGTCTTAAAATAAAAATGGAGCTGGGGATGAAGTTCAGCACAAAAGGCCCTGGATTCAATTCAATTCTCCAGTCCGGGTAGGGGTGGGGGATCCAACACAGGTGTTGATATGTGTGATGGCTCATGTCTGTAATCCCAGCTACTTGTGAGGCTGAGGTAATAGAATCTCAACTTTGAGGCCAGTACCATTTAAAAAATGGTGAGGAGGCCCGGGGATTTGGCTTAGTGGTTTCACCGCCTGCTGCGCAAGCAGAAGGATCTGAGTTCGATCCCCCGCACCAAAAAAATAAAAAATAAAAAATGGTGGGGAGAGAGAGAGAAGGAGAGAGAGATGCTGGAGGGAGGGAGGCAGGGAAGGAGGGAGGGAAAGAGACAGAAACTGCCAAAAAATGTACACATACTTCAGCAGTTTGCCCTACTGATAAACGTCTGGAAGCTCATGGCCACCACTTTGAGCACCTCTTGTAATGGCAGAGGACAAAAGTAACTTATATTAGTCGCTTCATGTCTTAAATATTAAAATATTTATGGAAGTTTTTCTTTTCCTGGTGTATACATTTTTTGGTGGACTTTCTCATGTTCTCGCTCTCTCTCTATATATAATATATATTATACATATACTATATATTTATATTATCATATAATACATATAATATATAACAACATATTTATCACTGTTTCTGCCCCATGAAAGTTGGTGAGGTTGTGAAGAGTGTTACTGTGCCCTCGTGGCCTCCCCAGGAAAGGCGGAAATAGAAAAAGGGGTCCTGAAGACGCCTCAGACAGCCACACCTACCTGTGCGCCTGCAAGTTGGTCTGCAGACCCCTCCCGGCAGGGCTTTAGGTAGCCACCCACCAGGGTGGTGAGGTCAGACATCATCTCATCCAGGAGCGCTGTGCGAAGAGGGAGCAGGTAGGTCACTTCCAGGGCCAACATTTTCAGTAAAGAGGGTGGAAGAGGACGTGTGAACCACACTTCTGGATTTTCCTAGAGACACCAAAACATTTTTTTTCCAGTGGTATTGAGACAGGACCTCACACATGCTAGGCAAGTGCTTTACCAACCCTTTTAAATTTTGTATTTATTTTGCAATAGAGTCTTGTTAAATTGCCAGGTAGCCTCTGATTTGTGATCCTCCTGCCTTACCCGCCCAAGTAGATAGGTAACAGGCATGTCCCACCATTCCCAGCCCAGAGGGTTGCTTAATTTAAAACACTCATTTTCTTGTATTACTTCCTTTTACTTTCACATTATAAGTAGCCTTCTGAGCATACAACCCCCCTACTACACACACAATTACAATGTGTGTATGAAACAAGAGAAAGAGGAGGTAGGTGGATCGATCTAGATTCAGCATTTAAAATTAGAGGCAGCAGCCAGGTGTAGTGGTGTATGCCTGTAATCCCAGGACTCAGGAGGCTGAGGCAGAAAGATCACCATGAGTTTGAGGCCAGGCTGACTGAGTTCAAGGCCAGCATGAATTGCAGTGGGACCCTGTCTCAAAAAAAAAAAAAGCTGGAGGCAGTAGAATTAAATAAATACACACACACACACACACACACACACACACACACAGAGTTTGTTTTTGAGACAAGGTTTCATTATGTAGTTCAGGCTGGCCTTGAACTCTCCACAATTATTCTCAGTCCCCCAAGTGCTGGGATTACAGGTGTGCACCACCATGCCTGGAAATAAAATTTATATTTCTTTGGGAAAAATAACTGGGATGATTTTGGTTCCATTGCATTAGTTCAAATTATCACAAAACTTTTCCTTGTCACAACTTGAAAATTTATTTCAGAGTCCTTTTTAGGTGATAACCAACAAATCTAGATCCTAGCTTTTAGCCAGCCACCCGAAACCACAAACTGTTCCTCTCAGGCACAACTAAGATTTTGTCGATTCTCATATGCTTATATCCAGCTGTCTTTTCTTTACATAATAGGGTATTAATCCTGTTCAGAAAACACTTGAAAAAAATTATCGTCAAATGAGATGTCCTCTGACACTCACCTGAGTCAGTTTTTGTCTGTCTTCTAGAAAGGAAAGGTATTTAGGGGCTACATTAAGGTGTCTTATTAAACTTTGCTGTAAAGTACTGATGCAGTTTGGAAGAAAGCCACCAGTTTCCATGGAAAACTGAAAGACATCTGCTACCTGTGGTAATACAAAAAGAAAAACCATCCAGTCAAATATAAACAGAAAACTATCTCATTGAAGAAATAGCAAGAATATTTTAGAAAGATGTTTTTAAAGGGCTGGGGATTTAGCCCAGTGGTTCTGCCACCTGCCTCGAAAGCCCAAGGTCCTGAGTTTAATCCCCAGTACCAAAAAAAGAAAGATATCTTTAAAGACCATTTTCCCCAAGGATCCACATGATAGATCACACCAAGCTGTTCAGACAACTTATTTTGAAAAACAAATTTTTAAAGCAAGGAGATTATCCATGTGTTTGTGTCTACGTTCTTTTCTACTTTTTTGCCTGCTAGGTTGTTACACTTCATGGCTTTTGGAGAACGGAAAAGAAAAATAAAATTCAAGAATTATTCTACTACCAGGCCAGGGATTTAGCTTAGTGGTTTCATCACCTGCTGTGCAAGCGCAAGGACCTGAGTTCGATCCCTGGTACCAAAAAAAGAATTATTCTACTACTTATAAGCAATTCTGGTGAAGTTTTGGGTAAGGAAAGCTAATAAAATTAAAAAGTGCAGTAGTTATTTATTTATATATGGTAGAACGAATAATGATCCCCAAGATACATCCAAATCCCTGGAACTCTTAATACTTTTTCTCCAACTACTGACAGGATCATATGGCTTTTTCCTTTCCTCTGTTAAAATGATGACTTTTGGGGGTGGATCTTCCAATGCTGAACCAAC